TTTACTCCGCCTCGCGCATTTGTTTTCATTAATGTGTATGTAAATTTCAGACATGTGACGCAAGTCGGCCACTCGAAAGATCAGCAGAGTACGAGTATACGGCCTGATAACGAGCGGAACGGAAAGAAAAATGGGCGGGGAGGAAAGCCCCACGATTTACGAACTTTTTTGCACTTCTGAGTTCCAGATATATCCGGTCGGGCGTCTGGCTAAATATATCGGCTATTTGTTTATGCCACGGACCAGATTCGAATGGTGCTAATTCGCTTTATCAAGTACGTACTATACTATACCACTGTACCATACAATCGTATAGCTTCGCTAAACAATTTTGTGCTGCCCTCGTTTAGCGATTCCCATCATGATGGCAGATGGCAACAACAGTTGAGCAAAGTGCGCTATTTTGCAACTGGATTGTTTTTTAATCCAGCATTATGCAATCATAATATTTACTGCACTAATTAAATGTTTTATTATTTATTTAAAAAATGCGTGCAATTGCCAGCAGTAATTTCAAGTGGCCATAATAAAGTTGCATAATGTAAACAGAGACATGCAAAACGGAAGTTTTTCTTTTCGTATTGCAATTATTTTTAATTTATTTATGCGCATTATATTGATTTTTTTGACTCGCTTGCATTTGCAGCTGGGGCATGCAATTGTTTTTGCCTTTTGGGCCGCGCTAGTGGGAAAATGCAGTTTGCAGCGCTCATATTTTGTATTTTTCCCCCATTTTTCTGGTGCCAGCTTTTAAGAGTTGTTAGCTGGGTTTTTGTTGTTTTCCAGTGTGTTGGGTACACAGTTGCGGCTGAAACAATAGTAGTATTTGCCGTAGCCTGTTAACTTTAACTGAACAGGTTGAATATTAGGGAAACGGTTCCGATTTATTTTACAATAACATTATACATGTTTTGTTATGCAGGTTGCTTAATACAATAAACATGCTTGGTGTTCCTGAATTCTGTGAGTACTATTATTATTTGAAACCCTCTCCTATTGAGGTGACCCCAGGCGTCTCAGTGTGTTTTCCCGAGTTTTTCCCAGTGCCTGCACTTGAACATTGTTGCTTTTGTTGCCGCCCACCTGCCCCTGTTTTTCCACCCCGTGCAGTTGTTTTTAAAAGTTTTTGTTTTTCCTACCAGCAGCCCAGAGGAACATTTTTATGGCCCTCATGTCCTTGCTTTTGTTTTCGGGGGCGTGGCACAGCCCGAGAACAAGTGAAATAGAAAACCCAGCGAACCCATTTTTTAAAGTTTTTCCCCAAATGCCGAAAATGCCCAGCTTTAACCATTGAACTCCCGCTTATCGTCGATGTTCTTGGCTATGTTTTCTCCCCCCTTTTTCTGTTCTATAGTTATAGTTATAGCTGTGGCGGAAGTTGCATACAATAACAATAACAAAACGAGTGCGGGAACATTGGAAAAGTTTTGGGAAGGGGGGAAAATGAAAAAGTTGCGTTGTACGGAAAAGTTTTTAGCGTAGTTGGAAATTCTTTTCGTCCGCTCTTCTCTCGATTATATGTCGAGTTCTTTTTTGCGAGTTTCTGCTGTAGCGCTGGCAAAAGTGAGTTTAGGTGCTTGAGCTTTGTCGTCTTTATTGTTCGTCGCTCTTTATCTATTCTAGTTGGGCTGTGCCAGTTTTTCCTGCTTTCCCGAAGGAAAACTGTGCGCCGCGGGAAGTAAACTGCATTAAAGGGGCAAAAATAGGCAACAAAATTAGTAATAAATCGTGGAGTGAAATATGAAATCGCAGCGAGCCAAGAAGCAAGCTGTGCATATTGCAACGGATGCTCATAACTCACATTTCCCCAACTTTTGGCTGGCCTTTGACGCAATTGAAGTTGCCAGGAAAATTGAATTTTTTAAATTTGCATTGGCAAAACAAGATGGATAACGGAAACAGCACTAACAAAAGCAGCAACATAAATCCTGTCCCAGATGCAAAAAAACACACAAAAAAAACACGGCAAAATGACAGAGAAAATGGAATTTATTAAATAGCATTCCGCGCAATAAACTCTTGCAGAAAAAAACGAGCACAGCAACGAAAATCCACACACACGATCGCATAATCAAATAAAACAACTTGGACATGCAATTTTATGGCAGGACGTCGGGTTCCTTTTGGCCACCCTCCTCCATTCCATTTCAGTGGCCCCCAGTCCAGCGTAAACAGACGCAAAAACCATGAGGAACGCGAATAAAATGGTATTTGTAGGGATCGAAGTTAAGAATACCCTTCGGATTCGCATACCATCATCATCTCTGCGCCATGGGTTCTGAAGAACATCCAATGGAGATCGCAAACCACAGGGTTTCAATTCGCTTGAACTGGTGTTAGAAAGTGTGCAACATTTAGGTTTGCATCAAATACTTTAATTTCAGCCTTTTAACAGACACTGAACCCCAATCGAAGTTATAGGTCCACAGCAAGGGTATCCAAAAGGGAGATTAAGCAAGGGGAAAACGCAAAAAGACCGCTCAACATTTTTACCATTAAGGGCGCCCAAAAAACCGGACAGCTGAAAGGGGCTCAGGGATTTGCGGAGCAGGCCATCAGCGCATTCAGGTTTTGGGACCTGCTGGACACAAATGAAACCAAGTGAAGCCGAATGAAAAGGTTAAATTAATAACCGTAGTCGCTCTTTAAAGTTCAAACCAAATGCGACAAACAAAGAAGCTATCTGTATGTATGCATGTATGTACATATGTGTGGCTGTGCGAAATGCATATTAAATTATTGTATAAATCATCGCTTTTATTTCGATTTCGGTTTTATTCATCATGAGGTTCGTTTCTGTTTGCTGCAAAAGGCGAGCGGCTCATTAAATTACCATTTTAATGATTATTTCATCAGTTGGACAAGTAAAATAATATTTTATTCGTTGCAGCCAATCAATTGTTAATGATAATATTTTAAGATTCTGCAATTACGTGCGATAACGGGCTTAATCATTTTGCTTTAAAATCGTATAAATCCTGGGCTGTAAGTATTTTCTAGATTTTATCGAGAATTTTCTTTTCAAAACATGACTAGTACCTAACATTTTTAGTAGCTCCAGTTCCTATCGCATTTTCATAAAAAACGAAAGTGACGAAAGTCAATAACCGAAATATAACGAAAGTCAAAAGATTGGCTGTACAGCACTTGAAACTCCTCGATCGCCAGGAATTGTGCAATATTTTAATGCATTTTAGCGGATATTTGTGATGGAAACAAAAGGAGAGCAAATGAAAGCAAACTGTCTGGTCTGAATTGATTTAAATTAATTGAATTTTGAAGCGAACCGGTAACCGTTAACCGGTAACCAGTAACCGGCAACCGGTTTCAACCGATTCAAGGCGAACCGTTCAATTGAGCAAACGGTATTTTAATGTTTTAACTGATTGATGTCAGTTAAAATGGCCTGATTGTTCCGATACTGACCTGTGCTCCGGGTGCTTCGGCCTATTCCAGTTGACTCCGATTAATCCAACTCATGTGCTCGTTTTCGTGCTGGAATTATTGGGCGGAAGAGGGGATTTACGGGAATTGAAGCCGATTTGGGCGGATCGAGGGGATTTAACTTCGGGGCAAACACATTTGGTTTCAGGCACTTTTCTAGACTTTCCTTGGCGTTTCTCGCTGTTTCTTTTGGCTATCACTCTTTTTATTCTAAATTTCTTCACTTGCTTTGGAAGCTATTAAGAGCACTAGTGGATTTTCAAATTTTGAACTGAGCAATTGTGGTATTATTCATGGCTTTCTTATGAGGTTCACGATACCCATGTTGAGCTGATAAAAATAGTGTTTTGATTTTGTTTCTGCTGAGGCTGAATAATCTAAAAAGGATTTCAACATTTTAGGACACTTTCAAGACGTTTAAAATAAGAAACTAATTTTACGCGCGAATATTTTATTTAATCTTGTTTTATAACAATATCGTGTTTCAAACTTATAGATTTGTTTATACACTTTATCACTTATCACTTTCATTAATTTAAAATTTAAATGGGTATAATTTGATGCCGATCACTTTCGATTTCTGCCAGTGCATTTTGATCGCATTGTAAACATTTTTACAGAAACAAGAACAACAAATTGCGTTTCATTGCCACAGTGGTGGTCTCTGCGCCGACGTCGGCAGCGACGTTGACGGCGGCAGCGAAAGGCGACACCATTTCACCGGCGACTATTTGCAGTAAGTGCGAGCGAGACGGCCGATGGCGATCGCACAATCACACACAACACACACACACGCGCATACGCTGCAACTGTTGCAGCAGCAAGAACAACAACAAGACGGCTAAATAGCGAGCATTTTGTTCGATTTTTTAGCGCTGCGACCTTGGAGCCGTTAGCTTTCCAAGCTGAACTCTTGGACTGTTAAGTTTGCTGCCATTTTAACACCTTAATAGCGCTTATCCAATTGTTTGCCTTTTGCTTTTGTTGCTTGTTGCTGCAGTTGCTGCTCTGCCGCTGCCACTGTCGCTGCACTGCCTCTGCCGGCGTCAGCTGCTCGCCTGCATGTGTGTGCGTGTGTTTGTGTGAGTTTCCGTTTGTTTTGTGTTGAGCCACTTATTTTTGTGTGTTTTTTCCGCTCACCGTGCAATTGCAATATTTATGGATTAATCGCGGGCCGTTGGGCTATACGTGTGCGGTTTTTAGCGCGGAGTTGGATCTGCGGAGACGACGGAACAGCGATATATAATTGCAGCAGTGGCAAGAAGAAGAGCCGACCAGCAGTGGCGGCCAGTGTGTGCACACCACGGCCCAGAATTGCCACCTGGCCGACGGAGATGCCACATCGCTCGATTTCTAAGGGTGATTGTAGGGCGGGGAAGAAGAAGAGAATAGCATCAGCTGTTGCTCATTGGCGGCTCAAAATGAGCTAAGTGCTAACGCGTTTGCGGCATAATTGGGCGCGAATTTCAAAAATGTAACATTCCCACAACAATGTTACACTTTTAAAAGTATTTTTACACATTTTAAAGTATTTCAACGTTCAGATTAAACGTCACATTTAGGTTTCCAAACAGCATGCGTTAGCCTCACATCTCAGCCCAAAATCCATTGTAACAGCAATAATTAGTTTGAATATGAACTCAATAGTGATTTTTATTCTACCCCTTTTCGTGGGTAAGCAGTTCACTCATACAACACGGACTCTACTAATCCACAATGCGTGCTCATCTCAGGCTTAGGAATCGGACTCGGGGCACCTTTTTCAAACGAGATCCCTGGCAAAATGGCAGAGCCAAATAAGACGGTGAATGTCAAAACTGAAGAGTTCCAGCTGCAGTCCTTTGGGTCCTTGGGTCTGCAGAAGATTCCGCAGTACTTGATCAATCTCATAAGAAACGTGGACAGCGAGATCCCGGGCGAGAGAAACCAGAACCTTTCACTGCGCAATGTTGGCGCTTTGAGAAAGCGCCTATATACTCAGAACGCAGCGGGAAGTCCAAAAATGGGTTATTTGGATCTAATGGTGTTTCTCATCGACCATATCTGCAGATTTATGGGGCTCATTTCATAGGCTCCAGGTATTTTCATATATTTTCCAGTTGGGAGGGATTTAAACGCACTCATAAATACGAAAATGAAAGGAGAAGACGATGAGGTTTTGATGATTTCAAATGAGAGGAACTTGATGAGTTTTTTTTTGGTCAAGTACATTTATTTCGAATTCATTTTTGAACGAGGCCAAAGGGCAGAAAAGAAGTATTGAAATTGTCAAATGATAAGGGAATTTAACGAAGGAAGAACAAAGAAATATTCCAGAAAGCTTTCAACTGAAGACGCAAGAAAAGATTTTCCAAATAATAAACAACAGATAACAAGGTACATTCATGGTTTTTCATTGGTTTCTTTTATATGTATATATATATATATGTATATATATATGTATGTATATATAGTATAACATTGTTAACATCTATTATTGACTATGTAATATCCGCTGCAGAGATACTTTTCGTGTTTCGTGTTCTGTTTCTGTTTGTTTTGCAGGTACTTAGTACTACTTTGCTCCTTGGGTTTGCGATTATTGTACGCTTGTCCTATATACACACGCTAATATACGTAACATATATTGAAATAGGTATCCGTGGGGTAAATATATGAGAATTGGGGCTTCTTATATGGGATCCTTGGGTAGGGTCGAATACTAAAGAGTTTAGGCGTTAATAAATACATCTCGAGTTTAGTTGGTAAAATTGCTAACATTTAGTAAGTAACTATGTTGTACCTTCAAGGGCTGGCTACATCGTATAAGGTATCGCTGATCTATAACGATCGTAAATATATCTATGTGTATACAGTATACAGTGTGTATATGAATATGAAACAATCTGCAGTTATAGATTCTAGGCATAGGCTATGCAGTGAAGTCTTAGACGAGTTTAAATAGCACTTTCTCGAAGTCCGTACATCTAAATAGTAAATATAATATATATAGTGTATATGGCTACTCAGTAGATTTGAGTTACAGCTACAGTTAGAGTTAGAGTTAAAGTTTCAGTTGCTTATGTCGCTAAAATACTTGAGTAAAGATAGAGCTACGATTGTTGACATACTGACTACTCCGCTTCGAATCGATTTTAAACCCATGTTTCGCATGTTGCACGTTGCACGTGGTACGCGGCACGTTGCATGTTGCTTGCCGCCAGTTGCTTGTTTGCTTTGTTGGTTTGTTCCCATTTAGGTTGTGGTCATAGAGTACAAGTGAATCATGTTGGTTCTCAGACAATCGGCACGCACACCCATTCCATCAGCCGGAACAGCAGCGAGCACAACCAATTCTAGGCGGCCGTCGTGACCTTCGGTTGTCCACCAGGTCCGGTTGCTCCTGCTCCTGCTCCTGCTCCAGCGCCTGCTGCTGCTCCCACTGCCACTCCTGCTGCTGCCTCCAGCGATGCGGGTGCCGCCGAGATCTCGTCCAGCTGATGCTGAAGCAGCTGCTCCTCCGCCTGGCCGTCGCCCATGCTGCTGCTGCTGCTGGTGGTGGTTGTGGCGCCGCTGCCGGCTTGGCTGGTGCGCAGCTCCGGCGGCAGATAGATTTTGACCACGCTGGTTATCTTCACCCGACAGTTGGGGCAGTTGCTGCATCTGCAAGGCGGGAAACCAGAGTTAGTACTGATACAATGGGTCACTGGGTGGCAGGGACTACTCACCTCGCAGCGCACTGGGCGCAGGCGATGACGTGACAGCACGGATTGAACACTGTGTTGATGGCGCGGTCCATGCAGATCTTGCACTGCATGGCCTCCGAGATGCGCGTGTCCACGCAACGCTCAATCGCCGCCTCACGCGCCTCCTTCTCGCGAATGGCCAAATCTATCTTGCCGGCCATGGAGCCGCCGGCACCAGTCGACAGGGCCATGGCCCATGGGCTGACGCCCGGCTCGCCGACGGCAGAGGCGCCCAATCCTCCAGCGGCAGCAGAGCAGCCCTCGGCTCCCTCCGCCACCAGATCGCCACCGCGCTCGTGGAGCGTCCTCCTGGCCTGGTCGTGCACCTCGCGACACGTGTGCTGGATGTCGAAGACGTAGCGCTTGCCCAGCTCCGTGTTCTCCATGAACATGGAGGCGATGGTGCCCTTGAGATCCCGCGTGAACTGGTTGGTCACCACTCCGCGCACCTTGTCGCACACGTAGAAGGCGTGCCGCTCCGTGATGGAGCGGTACAGGCCCGCGGCGATCGGCTGCTTCAGCAGCTTGATCTCCAGCTCCTTGCGATCGTTGTGGTCGTCCACGTACTCCAATTTGAAAGTGCGACGCAGCGACTTGGCCGCAGCGATGGCGCCAAAGGGGATGCTGGACAATGGGAAACGCAAGGCCATTAGTTTTGCAATACTACAGGCAAGTGGAAAATGGAAAAGAACTCGATGGAAGTGTAGGCCTAACTCTTCATAGCAAATTGGAACACTCTATACATTTGCTAGGCACTTTCAAATCAAATGTTAACTGTGTGTTTCTGGGTTTATGGCGCAGAAAGTGGGTTCTATTAAAAACGTTACCTTTGACGGCAATTTTGCGCTACATTAACTTGAAGCCAAAATCGTTTCGAAAAACATTGCCAAGAAACGACTCTAAAAAGGCCATTTAATTATTCAGGTTAATGCGCCATCTACTTATAGAATGATGCTTTCGTTTTGAGCACCCTGACTTTTGTTTTATGAGTACGAAATTGCTCAATTTGGTTTTAGAAACTATGTGAATTAGCTAAGGCAGAAGTGGCATAAACGCATAACACAATTAGAAGAGTCTATGAATTGAATTGCAATTTAATTTAATTCCAAAATACTATGGTAAAGCTTGTGCCTTGTGAGTTCCATACTGCGAGTTGCGGAAATTCGATCTGAGGGATCGCTTCCATGAGATCGGCTGCCACTCACCTCTGTTTCTCGCCCCCCCGGCAGACGGTGATGCCATGGGCGCCCACCGCGATGTCGCAGCGCGTGGCACTCTCGTTGGTGGTCACGCCGCTGAAGAGCTCCTCGCCGTAGCCCTCGAGGTCCTGGATGGACTTGAGCAGCCAGTACTTGGCCGTCTTGAGGCTCATCTGCAGCTTGGCCAGCTTGCCGTGCTCCACGGCTATTTGGCGCAGATAGTCCGCCGGCGGCTCAGCCTCGCAGCTGGGCTGCATGAAGTACTCCTCGTAGACGCGGAGCGGATTGCTGGCCAGTCGCTCGTCCAGGCCCGTTTGGCTGCTGCTGTTGCTGGGGCTGCTGGAGCTGCTGTTCGAGTGGGTTTGCGAGCAGGCTGACGTGGAGGCGGAGGCGGATGCTGAGGCGGATGCGGATGCAGATGCAGATGCTGATGCGGATGGCGAGGGCTGGAGACTGCAACTGGTGGTGCTCGCCGCCGGCAGCGTGCAGATCTCGATGTGCTCCATGGACTTCTGCTTGGACAGACGGCGCTTCTTGAAGCTCAGCACGTGCTCCTTCTCCTTGCGCAGCTGCTCCAGGCGATGCTGCTGCGCCTGCTGCTGTTGCTGCTGCTGCTGCTGCGCCAACTCTCGCCGCATCCTCATGGGGCAGTCGGCCCGCAGCGACGACTCATTGAAGCGCAGCCCATCCGCCTGGCAGAGCAGCGCCGCCAACTTGGCCGCTCCACTCCAGTCCGGCGCATGCAGACGACCCTCGAGCAGATCCCGCCTGGCCTGCATGTAGAACAGATTGCGCACGCTCTCCTGCAGGATGAAGTGCACCGGCACCCAGAACTTGACCCGCAGCGCCAGCATCAGCTGGATGCCGCTGCCACTGCTGCCGCTGTCGCCGGAGAGCCGGTTGCGCAGATTGATCCACTGGCGCGTCTGCGACTCCTTTTGGTTGGGCGTCCAGTGCTCCAGGCCGAAGTACTCCATCTCACAGATGATGTTCATCGCGCGACAGACCTGCAATCGAGGGATATGGCTGGTTAGCTGTGCAACTATAAGGTCCTAGAAGCTATAGGCTGCAGGCAAAGAGCTATCTTGTGCCATAAAACTGGCTAAGCGGTGGTTAAATAGGTCAGCTCTCTACTTGCTGCCTTTCCATTGTCGCCCCACTGCGAATTAAAGCTTAATCTGAATGTTGTTCCATCTATTCTGGATCAGCGACTTATCAATTCAGCTTGACAGAGCCTGTCAGCGACATGCGGCCAGGACCAGCAGAGCCCGAGCCAAAAGCATGTCCTGTGTGGCTTGACTATCTACCAACATTTCGCCATGACAGCGGCAACATCCGCAGCAGCAGCGGCAGCGGCAGCAACAACTGCCTGTGGCAAGTGGATGGATTGGAAATTGTGGGTGGGTGACTGCGCACGTGGGTGTAAAGTGGGTGTGTAAAGTGGGCGGCGCTTTCCTTACTGATGCCGTGGTTTTCAGAAATATTTGCTTATGCAACGAGCGTGTCATCATTTCGAATGGAACGAGTTCAAATGCTGGCAGCGCATCTCTTGGCAAAACAACATCCTTATGTGCTCCATAATGCCACTGCCACTGCCTCTACCGATGACGATGATGGTTATTTGTTCGCCTTAACAAGGCAAAACACCACACTTTCCAGCCAACGCCAATTGCAATCCCCATCCCCATTCCCATCCCAATCCCAATCCCCCGAAGGCAAGTTGCACTGGCTGTCGCTGCCGCCGTCGAAATGAAATTTCAAATTTCGAAACCTCCAAACAAAAGAAGAGCAAGACCACCGCATTTTGTGAGCATCGAGGCTTGGGGGCAACCTTTAAATACTCCCATTCCCCCAAGGACCTACGCATATAATACACACACATACATATATATGCAGCACTTTGCATAATGAGGTATGCGTACTTCCGAGTGTCTGGGTTAGCCAAGGCAACAAGTTGCTCACGCATCAGCGCCTTCGCACATTTTTACGCTTTCCCATTTCCAATTAGGCGAAGCCGCAGGAACGGAAAGCCCAGTGGAAAATGGGGGTGGTGGGGGTGTTTAAATTTATGAGTGGGATTATTAGCCATTAAAGTGAAATTTGAGTCAATTTGCTCTGTATTCCGCTTCTGTTTGGCAAGCTTGGTGTCTACTAGGGATTACAAATTGCCATGTTTTAGGTGGCACATTGTCATGGCATACTTCTAGGCGTTTGTGGCTGTTTAGCTTTTCCAATATTTCGTGCGTTTTTGGGTAATGGCTTACTGTCTTTCTCAGAGTTTTTAGATACTTGGTACACATCGTGTAAATGACCCGTTTGCCTGTTCAAAGTGCTGCCATGGCAATGCAGTGTCCTGGAAACCAGGCAAGTTTCGAGCAAAGGACATCTCTGTGGAACCGGATGCGCAGAAGGAAGCCACTCGAAGAACACGTTGGACTAATTAAGACGACAGATG